CATTCATTTCTAAGTGAATGAAACGTACATATAATGATGTTTGAGGCAAAATCTACGATGCCGAGCCTTTTAAAGCATACATATATGTTTCACTTTTTATTTACCTATAACAAATTGGTGATTTACTGGTTGGAATTTCATCTCATTTTTAGGGTAGCAAGACGACAGCATTTGATCAGTGGTCTTGTTCCATATTTCCTACCAGTGACAACAATTATATGCTCTATGAACTCACACACGACAATCATCATGTGATACTGTGGTACATGCATGCCAAATGACCATGCAACACCAGCCTAGGATCCACATGTTTGTTTAGAAGCTACTGAATATATACTACAACTAGTGTCTGTATGCTAATTGGACTGTACAATTAAAAATGGTAATACAATTGTACAAACATTCTGACTCACAGTTGGCTGAGTTATTAGCCTACCCAGCAAAAATACACACTGACCCAGGATGGTATTTTTTATCAAAGATTCAGACAGCTACATTGAGAGCCTTGATTTTCACATCAATATACCAGTGAAGACACAAATACATATGCTAAGTGCATATAACCTTTTTTTCTAGTGTCTTGTATATAACATACTTAACTTAGAATTAGCAGAGATTCTGATCTACTATCATGGTTAATTTTGACCACAAATCATGCACACGTAAAACTAGTAAATACCCCCAAACAAACAGCCAGGTAAATACTACGTCAAATCAAAGTACTGGTAAACATGTACGCTGTGTGGCCTGGATTGGTGTAGATGGGTTTCATACACTCTGCCCGCAATAAACTCAGTTATAAGCATTCTTAATGCCTGGTGGTAAAGGGGAAGTGCACAGTAAATGTCTAGTTTGAATGACATGATATTTACCCTGCCGTTTATTCTGTGTTATTTACTTGCTTTACTTTTTATGTCAACACCTACTATGGAGTTTACAATTATTTCTCAATTTTATTCAGTAAAACTGACGTCAGACCGACATTATTTAGAATGTGTGAAGCCTAAAGTGTCTCCATTTCACTTAAATTTGACACTTGTTGTTGCTATTGTAATTAAAATTATACAATTTGATCTACATATACATGTATATTAGAAATGACAATTATACAACACAATTATACTATATTGGCTCCATTACAATCTAGCACATGAGGTGACATTTGATGGCTAAGATGGTACTTTTTACATTTATTGGTGCTTTTGGTACATGTGACAGTGAGAAATGTTTGAAGGATCACCTTTCTCTAATTCATAAAATTGTGGATAATTTACAAAATGAGGGAAATGCATTTATAATGATCTGTGTCTAATTGTGCGATGTTCATTTCATTAAAATATTCATACTTTTTCATTGCAGCATATACAGTTTTAAAGTGCCTGTGAAATGGCTACTATTTTCACGCCTAAAATTATCAATTGATACATAAATATTATTAATTTTTATGTTTCTAAGCATGAATTATTTTTTTTAAGTGAAAAAATGTGTTTTAAACCCAGTCTACGGCAACTTTATTTTTGTATATTTTAAAACTAGGCTCCTCATTAGCTTCTCATTTGCATACAGAAATTCCCCTTGTGACATCAGAAGGGGAAGTCGCATGGCAGCTTGCATTGCCGATACGTGTAAATAAGGAAAATTTCTTGTGCAGTTTTCTCGTCTTTGACTATATTGTCACTTATGTACTTGTTCGTCGAGGAAGAATGGAGCATAATGAACACATAGTATCAATTTTTGTTGCATGGGGTTGAGTTAGATGCGAAATATGTCCGTTCTGGTGTAGCTGGTCACCGTGATCGTCACCGACACCGGCGCACGTTTGTACACTGTTGCTGGACAAAATAGAATTTGACGTCGCAATTATCTCGTTATTTAGCAGGTTACTAGGCATGTCACTACACTGTTTTATTTCATTGATCGTCTGAGTAAAACTTTCAAATTAAAATAAAAGAGAACATATTTTGACATTCTAAACATTAGACTATAGTGATCACTATAAAATAATTAAAAAAACGACAAATCACAGTTACAAAATAAATGACAGCCGCGTGGAAATAAATTGACATTTTGTTGAAATAGGTGAACACGTCTGGTCACGGCGAGGGCAAGTGCGTTAAAAGCGGCGTTTAATTGGATAACAAAAATAATCGAGATCGACACACATACAGATAAATTCAGAGTGGATTCGAGTTAGCTTGATCCATGGCGTGATTGTCATAATTATAACATTGTATTAAAACTTTATTTGGTGGAAACACAATGACCAAGCCCGGATTCTTATTTCATAAATTATTACGCAGATCAAGCTGCAAGCATG